GAGCGTGCGGCGGTTTTCTGCCCGCCGTGCGCCCCGAGGCGCGCGGCGGTTTTCTGCCCGCCGTGCGCCCCGAGGCGCGCGGCGGCTTTCTGCCCCGTCACTCCGCGAGTCGCCCCCGGGAGGAGCTGCGACGGGCGACGGGGACCCGCGCGTCGCCCCCCGTCGCCCGTCGTGGCCCGTGCGACCTCCGTAGGGCCCGCGCGCGGCCCGTCCAGCCTGCGCGCGGCCCGTACGGGCTGCGCCAGGCCCGCGCGCGGCCCGTACGGGCTGCGCCAGGCCCGCGCGCGGCCCGTACGGACTGCGCCAGGCCAGGGCGCGCCTCGAGCCGCCCGCCACTGCAGCAGCAGCCCCTGGAGCCGCCCGCCACTGCAGCAGCAGCCCCTGGAGCCGCCCGCAACTGCAGCAGCAGCCCCTGGAGCCGCCAGCACCTGCAGCAGCAGCCCCTGGAGCCGCCAGCACCTGCAGCAGCAGCCCCTGGAGCCGCCCGCAACTGCTGCCACAGCCCCTGGAGCCGCCAGCCACTGCAGCAGCAGCCCCTGGAGCCGCCCGCCACTGCAGCAGCCGCCCCTGGAGCCGCCCGCCACTGCAGCAGCCGCCCCTGGAGTCGCCCGCCACAGCAGCAGCCGCCCCTGGAGCAGCCGCCCCTGCAGCAGCCGCCCCTGGAGCCGCCCGCCACTGCAGCAGCCGCCCCTGGAGTCGCCCGCCACAGCAGCAGCCGCCCCTGGAGCAGCCGCCCCTGCAGCAGCCGCCCCTGGAGCCGCCAGCAACTGCAGCAGCCGCCCCTGGAGCAGCCGCCCCTGCAGCAGCCGCCCCTGGACCTCAGAAGCCGCCCCTGGACCCGGTACGCTCTGCTGCTGCCCGATGCTGCCCGTGCCTGTGCTGCCCGTGCCTTGTCCCTCGAGCCTACTACCTACCTACCTGTGCCTGTGCCTGTGCCTGTGCCTGTGCCTCTGCCTGTGCCTGTGCCTGTGCCTGTGCCTGCTCGTGCCTTGTGCCTCGAGCCTACTACCTACCTGCCTGTGCCTGTGCCTGTGCCTCGTGCCCGCGCCCTCGTGCGCTCTGCTACTGTCTGCGCCCTCGTGCGCACTGTTCTGCTCTGCCCCCCCCCCCCCCCCCCCCCCCCACCACAAGGGGTGTGGGGGTGGCGGGTGTGGGGGTGCTCCGTTTGCGTCACTCCTTTCCTCCTCCTCCTCCTTCCTCGTCTCCCACTGCTGCAGCTGCCGCTGAGGGGGGTGGATGTGTGGGAGCCGAGGGTTTAGGGTTTCAGGAGTGAAGGGGGAGTGGAGCTAGGGGTGAAGCAGTGGGTGTGTGGGGGGTGTGTGGGACAGTTGGGGGAGGTTGAGCCGAGGCTGCCGTCTTGTCGTCTGCAGCACCTGAAGTCCGGGGCTCTGTCTCGGTAGCGCAGAGTGAGTGCTACACCAGTCGCCCGTGGGTCCGATGCTCCTGCCGCAGCTGCAGAGCCTGTTACTCCTGTATTCCGGGGTGCTTACCTCGGTAGCCACTGAGAGCTTGTGCTGCACCAGTTATCTGAGTCAGCCGCCATGTGACTGCAGCTCCAAACGACGTCTCCTATCTTCTCTCCCCTCACAGTCTCTCCTCCTCCTCACTTGCCCGTTGTGACTACCACTAGCTTTGCTCATAGTTGTGAACTTTAAACTATTGCTTCTTGAACTTGTGCTCAGAATGTGTGGTGACATTGTGATCCACCCTGAGCTTGTTCTACTTTGCTTGCTCTGCTGATTGCACCCCACTTTGGCTATGGGGGTGTGTCAGAATGTTACTTGTCTAGCCTGCAGTGGGGTACTCAACAGTGAGTACAACCCTTTAGGGTTTCCTACTTGTATCCCAACTCTTGCTAGTTCAATCACCTCATTCTCACCATTCTCCTTCGCATACCCAAAACCCTAGTCCTAGGGCACAACCTACTACCTCCTAGTGTGGGCCTAGGCTACTAAGCCTAGGCCCCACTCCTAGTATTTCTGACATACTCGGCCTCCTGCTCAGGAGTAGGCAATGGGGTAGTGGGCAGGGGGCTAGGCTGCTGAGGAGTTGTCTGAGTACCGGACGCATGTGCGAACAGGTGCACGCCATCCTGCCGCTGGCTCTTAAGGTGGCGCTGCGCCTGCGTAAGCCACGTACTAAAGACTATTGGTCTCCCCTCAGGGTCAAAGCGAAGTACTCGGGAGGTCGCCATAAGGGGCGAAAGTGGGAGAGCGCGGCTGCCAGCCGCGGGAGGGTGAGACAGTCAGTGGCGTGTGGGCAGGCGCATAGGCGTGTAGGCGGGCAGGTGGCGCGGCATGCAGACAGGCGGGCGGCGCGGCACGCTGGCTGGCGAGCGGCGCGGCGGCGCAGTGGCGTGGCGCGCTGGCGTGAGCGCTGGCGTGTGCGCTGGCGAGCACGCTGGCGTGCGCGCTGGCGTCCGGGCTGGTGTACGCGCTGGCGTGACGCGCTGGCGTGCACGCTGGCACGACGCGCTGGCGTGCGCTCTGGCGGGACGCGCTGGCGTGCGCGCTGGAGTGCGGGCTGGCAGGTGTTAGAATTATACTATTATAACTGCATGTAGTTCTAGCGTTAGTGTAGTTATCATGATATCCTGCTTGGTGGTGTACCCCCTTTCCTACCCTATATCTTGTACCCTTGTCATAGTGAAACCCCCTTCTCTCTCGTTATTCTCGTCCTGCCCTAGGCTCTAAGCCTAGTGATTCTAACAGCGGGGTGCGCTGGCGTGCGCGCTGGCCTGCTGGCTAGGGTGCTGGCGGGCCTGTTGGCTAGGGCGTTGGCGGCCCTGCTGGCTAGGGCGTTTAGGGCAAACGGGGTGGGGGGCGCACCAAGACTAGAGACTAAGTTTAGGAAGGGCGGAGACTAGGTGTGGCCTAGGAACGACGAACCTACTGCTGATACCATCTCACAAAGTGAAAACAGCGGAATGAGTTAGATTGATTGTGTTGGGGTACAAATGCCTAACCCTAACTGTTTGTACCCCATATACCGTATTACCCCGGATTAAAGCGCAGGTGCGCTTATAATAAATCAGTGTTTTTTAGGGGGGTGCGCTTATAATTGAGTAAAAAATATAAGCGCATGCGCTTATATAATGACTAATACAAATTTATATTCTTACTGCACCAGATTGTACATCCCCTTATTGCAATTTTAATCGAAGCGCAATGATAGGGGGTCACAATTCAGAGTCGCACGCGGGCGAATTTCTGCGGGCACACAGGGGCAGTTACACGTCATTGCGCCGGAATTCCAGCTCATAATGACTGGACGCGCAGAATGTAAGGTCCTCGCGAGTCAATCGAACCGAAATTGGTGTGACCTCGCTGCAAATTGGAATTTCGTTACCGTTTCAAGCAAATTCAAATTTTAATATTATACATGCGCTTATAATAAGTCAGGGTTTTACAGGGGGTGCGCTTATAATTGAGGATCGGCCATAAGCGCATTGCTCCAGATAGAAGCGCATGCGCTTATCATAGGCCTGCGCTTTTATCCGGGGCGATACGGTAGCATAACCCACTAGAGGCTATAACATTTGACATCATGTGACTTTCATTCCAAATATTACTATTTTGGATCCATGCTCATGCAATTGTGACATTATGTATTTATGTGTGAATTACACTTTCATAGCTCGTGGAGAAGGAAGTGTACAAATCCACGCACTACAGCCTCCCCCACCACCCCTCCTACCCCAGGTCTTCTCCAAAAATACGACTTGAAATAACACGAGTAGTGGCGATTTGTCACTGTGCAGCTATCCATGTAACGAGGCGCTTCAATCTTCCACGAATAAAAAATCGGCACAGACAACACCAATGGATCTACGCTCTGTCCACCTACCGTGGCACCTCGTGACACCAACGCTTCTTCAGATCGCGCACTTGAATCAATGCCCGCTTCACTATAACCACCTTCGTTAACACCCCCTTCACCACCACCACCATCGCCACTCATCTCGTCTACTCCACCACCAGCCACGGCCCGCATCAGCCGATTGATCTCCATGAGAGCCAGGTTGGTAGACGGCCCGGCAGACACGTTGGTGTATCGAGCGCAGTGGTCGCCTCCATTGGGCACGGGAGTAGACGTGCGCAGCACCACTGGCTTGCCGTGTGGGGCGGTCTGCAAGGCCCAAAGGACGTACTCTCGCAGGTGCGCTCGTGTGGCTTTAACTGGCTCGGAGCAGAACGTGCTCGCCCACGCGCCTGCGTTTAGGACGGTGACGTCGGCTGTGGGGGAGAGGTTTGTTGGGAATGTGGCGGTGCGGTTGCTGTACATGCCTCTGTGACTGCCGGGGGTGTTTGGGACAAGGGGGGAAGGCGAAGGAAAGGGCGGATTTTGAGGCTTATCAGAGCTTGAGGCGCTTCAAAACAAGGGCCATTAGGAATGTGACGGTGAGGTCCCTGTCGTACATGCCCCTTTTGTACATGCCCCTGTGGCTGAGGTGGTGTGTTTGGATAAGGGGGGTGTTTGAAGGAAAAGGATCGAGAGAGGCAGCGGAAGTCAGAACAAAGGGGAAGGTAAAGATGGCATCACTAGCCTCAGCTGCGTGCATGCACGTGTGCATTCATGTGTGCATGCACGTGTGCATGCATGTGTGCATGTGTGCATGCATGTGTGCATGCATGTGTGCATGCATGTGTGCATGCATGTGTGCATGCATGTGTGCATGCATGTGTGCATGCATGTGTGCATGCATGTGTGCATGCATGTGTGCTGTACATACTAGATATGCAAACCGCTCTTCCAACCTTCCCCCTTCCTCTCCCCCAACCGACACGATCACGACGAGACGCGCATGATTTTTATTGTATGGGATGGAATGATGGCATGTGGAAACAAGCAGCCCAGGGTTGACACACACCCATACGCATGCACCCATGCACATGCGCCCATGCACATGCACCCATGCACATGCACCCACACACACGCAACCACATACGTGCATTCACACGCACATGCACCCACACACATGCACCACACATCACACGCACCTGCATCCGAACTCCCCGTTGCGGTAGATTCCATCAACCCAATAGAAGTTGATTCTCAGAGTCTCCTTCTGTGCATTGGTCGCCACAAGGGTGTGACTGGCGTGCGCATAGAACAGCCTGGCATCCACGTGGCCCGAGAGCAAGAAGTGCAGGTGACTTGCCAGCACTCTCTGGTGCGAGTTTCCCACCATGTTGATCTCCCGAATGCCCCTGCGCCGTAGATCCGAGATCCAACGGCTGGGAGGCGATAATGGGGGCGCACAGGGGAAGAAGGTCCAGCTGGAGGGGAGAGAGTGGGGGTCGGGAGAGGAGTGGAGGCGAGATGAACAAAGAGATGAGGAGGGAGAGAGAAGCATGAGACAAGAGGAGGAGGACAATAGGAGGACAAGAGGAGGAAAGACAAGAGGAGGAGGACAAGAGGAGGAGGACAAGAGGAGGAGGGGAGGAAGAGAACAAGAAGATGACAAGAGGAGGAGAACGTAGAGGCTTAGATGTGGAAGGCCCAGGCAGGGAAGTGATGATGTTAATCGGCTCGAGAGGCACACAGGGTTTGTATTGTGACAATCAGTAGGATGGTAGCACTCACTCACTGTGAGGCAAGCCGGGTAGGATGAGGCAAGCCGGGTAGGATGAGGCAAGCCGGGTAGGATGAGGCAAGACGGGTAGGATGAGGCAAGACGGGTAGGATGAGGCAAGACGGGTAGGATGAGGCAAGACGGGTAGGATGAGGCAAGACGGGTAGGATGAGGCAAGACGGGTAGGATGAGGCAAGACGGGTAGGATGAGGCAAGACGGGTAGGATGAGGCAAGACGGGTAGGATGAGGCAAGACGGGTAGGATGAGGCAAGACGGGTAGGATGAGGCAAGACGGGTAGGATGAGGCAAGACGGGTAGGATGAGGCAAGACGGGTAGGATGAGGCAAGACGGGTAGGATGAGGCAAGACGGGTAGGATGAGGCAAGACGGGTAGGATGAGGCAAGACGGGTAGGATGAGGCAAGACGGGTAGGATGAGGCAAGACGGGTAGGATGAGGCAAGACGGGTAGGATGAGGCAAGACGGGTAGGATGAGGCAAGACGGGTAGGATGAGGCAAGACGGGTAGGATGAGGCAAGCCGGGTAGGATGAGGCAAGCCGGGTAGGATGAGGCAAGACGGGTAGGATGAGGCAAGACGGGTAGGATGAGGCAAGACGGGTAGGATGAGGCAAGACGGGTAGGATGAGGCAAGACGGGTAGGATGAGGCGACTCACTGGGTTGGTTGGTTGGGGCCACTCACAAGTAGCTGCCTGTGAATCCCCTCTTCCACCGGCCAGGGATGGAGCCCGGTGCACACGGCGTGGCTGCGATGAGGGAGGTGGTATCTGGGGAGGTGGTATCTGGGGAGGTGGTATCTGAGGAGGTGGTATCTGCGGAGGTGGTATCTGGGGAGGTGGTATCAGGGGAGGCAGTAGCTGACTGCATGACATTTCTAGCAGGTCTATGAGTGGTACGAGCTGCGCTTCCAGGGGCAGGAACTTTCCGGTGAGGTGATTGCTTCGGCGAGCCAATGATGAGGCTCCACGTGGCAAGGTCATGGCGGAGGGTGGAGTTGAAATGGGCGGCGAAGTCAGAAGAGAAATTGAGATTTGAACAACCCACGGCGAGCGTGGCACTGAAATTGGGAGAGCAGGGGGTGAGGGGGGCGAAAGAGGGACTGTGAGTGGGTGAGATGAGTGGGAGAGAAGAGGGGTGAAAAGGATGGAAGCAAGATAGCGAGGAGGTGTGGGGTAAGGGTGGGGAAGGCCATGAGTGGAGTGGAAATGGTTGGGTGGGAGGGACACTGACTCAGACACAGCATGTTGACTGGGACCATTTCCACTACCACAGTGAACATCCCACAGTGACCAAATGGTGTGCCGCCTGAAGGAGGGGCCCACATCCCTGTGCTACGCCCTTCCCAAACCTGTAACTCTCCCCTCCTATGCCCTTCCAAATCTCCCCTGCTGCGCCTTTCCACATACCTGTAACTCCCCACTCCTTCGCCCTCCCACGTACCTATAGGTCCCCGCGTCCCAGAGGCGGTAGGAGATGAGGAAGTGCGAGCAGGCTGGGGGGTCGGTGCACTGCACGTCCCCACTTCCCAATGCTGGGCCCTCTAGAGTCAGAGTCAGGTCGTTCTTTAGCCAACTGCTTTTATAGCTGCTGCTGCTGCTGCTGCTGCTGCTGATGCTGCTGCTGCTGCTGCTGCTGCTGCTGCTGCTGCTGCTGCTGCTGCTGCTGCTGCTGCTGCTGCTGCTGCTGCTGCTGCTGCTGCTGCTGCTGCTGCTGCTGCTGCTGCTGCTGCTGCCATTGCTGTTACTTTTGCCGCTGCTGACGATGCTGCTGTTGCTTCTTTTGCTGCCCGTCTCCGCTTTGGCTCTCTCATCGGTCACCAAGGGTGTGAACCAGTGAGCAGGAAGTATCAACCACACGTGTATGCTGCACTCCTCCCCACGCGTGCATTCACTGCACCCCCTGCCGCCCACCACCACTCCCCCACCGCCTCCTGTTGTTGCTGCTGCTCCTGCTGCTCCTTCTGGTGTGGCGCGGCTGACCAGGGCATCTGGGCAGGATGGGGGTGAGGGGTTGGGGGGGGGGCGGACACCAGAGTGGACACTCTTGCCACCTCTCTTCCAACTGCCCCTGCCTCTAGCACTCCGCCTGCTGTCGGCCCCTTGCTGCTTCTGCGACTCCCAATAAGTCACACAAGGGATCCGGGGCACATGGAATAGGTGGTGGCTCACATACTCCCGCTTCACCTCACTGCCTCTCCCGCTTCACCTCACTGCCTCTCCCGCTTCACCCGAGGGGGGCAGGGGGAGGGATAGGGGGAGAGGGGTATGGGATTGGGGAGCACCTGAGGACCAGCAGACATGGTGTTGAGCCTCTTCAAATGGCCTTTGTGCGCCGTTTGATGCGCCGCGTGTGGCGCTTCTGCCAACACAAGAGCCGTCCATAACGGGAGGGTGGGAGCAGGACAGCATGGGGAGGGGCAATGGGGTGAGCATTGTGTGCCGTGTGGACGGAGTAGTGGGGTCCAGCGGTGGGCGGACGAGGGGAGGGGATGGCGGACGAGGGGAGGGGATGGCGGACGAGGGGAGGGGATGGCGGACGAGGGGAAGGAATTCGCAAGAGTTACCTGATTCGCGTCGACTCCATAGCCTCCTTGGGATTGTCCGACTCCCCGCCGCCTTTCTGCCAGGCAAAACGGCACACAGTTGGCTACTTACGCGGAAAAAAAAAAAAAAAAAAAAGGGGCGGAGCCCCAGCGCAATTTGGGGACGCGCGCAGGGGGAAGGTGAAGGGGCGTCCAGCACAAACTTCCCGCTTTTTTTTGTTTTGCGCGCGCACGTCTGTCCATGGAAATATCGCACTGAAATCTGAACCCTGCAGGTAACAAAGCCCTGGAAAGTGGCGGAGAAACGCACGTAAACTTTGTGAAATTTAAGTTGAGCTGAGTTGGCATGAGCTCAGACGGAAAATGCCATGGTTTACAGTCCGATTTCAGCCGCGGGTCCTGCACGCGGGCTGAATACCAGGTGAAACCAGGACCAGGTTTTTATGACCAGCGCGCAAGTCGGGCAAGACGTGGACGTGGGCAAACTATGTATTACTGAAAAGGAGACACTCCGCGGCGCCGCGAGCACGATGGCGGGGTTTGTTCTTTGAGAAAATTCAAAAAGCGTGGACGAGGGCAGACAGGAGACACTCCGCGGCGCGTTTTGAGACGAGTTCAAAGGACAAGGGCGAATAGGAACACTCCGCCGCGGCGCGAACACGATAGCGGAGTAGTAGTACCTGCTCTATGATGCCAACGCCAGACGCAAGAGCCATGGTTCGTTGTTCCGAAAAATGCTCGAGCAGTGTGGAGGCAGCGGGCTCGAGAGGTACTATCTGCACGACGGAGGCTGGCGGGAGATTTAAATCGAATAGCGCCGCGAACACGAGCAGCAGCGCGACGAGCACGCCGATCCCGTTCGACAGCCATTGAAGCTGATAGGCGCGCCACATGCACGGGCAGGAGGGTCACGAACAGCACAGGAGGACGCTGCAGTACTGCTGCTTCAATTGTGACTGGCGTGCTCGTGCTGTGAGGTTACTTCGGAAGTACCAAGAGGGAGTATCGAGAATGCTTGGCTAGTTTGAGTGTCGGATCTGTATGGTTGAAACTTGCCTGAGCGGGTCATTTTCGTTTGTCTATTTTTGACGTTGAATGAAGCATTCATCGGTGCGCAATTCTTTCAAGCGGTGAAAACCACCCAAACGTGGTTAACCGTATTAGACCGCGTCGGACGAACCCTGAACAAAGAAAGAAGGGTTTTTAGTTATTTCGGAAGGGGTACTTCCGACCCTGCGCTTTCTAGGGAGCTTCATCTCTTTGTTATTTTCTGCCGAGCCAAAACCACGTTCTGGGTGGCTCGGCACCTCACTGTTTCGATATCTGGGGGAGATCATTTTCGTGCCCAAACTCCGTCCAGTAACACACGCCAGAGCGCCACTGCAAACGGAAACGACCTCCGTCTAGTACAGTGACGTCAGTTGCCGTCAAACGACGCTAATACCTCGCCATCACAGAAACGCGATTTTGTTTTAGGGTGAGTTGATTGAAAAAAAACTTAGCCAGTATTTTCAGAAGATTGCATCTGGCCTTATTGAATGAATTTGTTAAACAATGTTACCATTCAAGTATATCTAGAAGATTACATCAAGCCTTATTGAATTAATCTGTTAAACAATGTTACCATTCAAGCTCTTTGAGATTGCATGTGGCCTTATTAATTTAATTTGTTCAACAATGTTTCCATTTAGGGCCTTCTTGGTTCCTTTTGATCTAATATTGAAACAAACAACTTGCTTTCGAGGGGACGAATCATCGTGCAAGCTGCAAAACCCTAACCCATTAAACAAAATGGCATAATCTTGCGTGGATTTAGAGTCTTGTAGTATTGTCAACATATGTAGACACAGGGTGCTAGAGTTTAGAAGCCTTTAAATATCTCTGGGCGTTTCAGAACACATGATATCATTTTCACACATATGTTATTATGTGTACTCAGTTTCACTTCTAACCGTGATGTTATATTATTATTATATTTGTGAAGTTAAATTCTCACAAATAAGTTATTCTGTGGACTTAAACGCCCATGAATGTTTAAAGGCTTAACAAGTAAATACGTAACACTATGTTTAAAAATGTAGACAATACTATAGGACTGTAAATGCATGCAAGATCATGCCATTTTCTTCTATAAACCCGGCTTTTGCAACTTGCACGATGTTTCGTCCCTTTAAATGAAATTTGCGTGTTTCAATATTAGAGGAAAAGGAAACTCAATAATGCCCTGAATGTTAACACCGTTTTACAAATTAATTTAGAAAGGCCATATGCAATCCTAAAAAATAATGGCTAAGTTTATATTATATTCAAATCAGCCTAGAACTAGATCGCGTTTCTGTTATGGGGAGCTATTAACGTCGTTTGACGGAGGTTGAAGTCACTGGACTAGACGGAGTTTATTTCCGTTTGCAGTGGCGCTCTGGCGTGTGTTACTGGACGGAGTTTGGGCGCGAAAATGATCTCCCCCAGATATCGAAACAGTGAGGTGCCGAGCCACCCAGAACGTGGTTTTGGCTCGGCAGAAAATAACAAAAGCGGTTGCGCACTGTTTCTCTGTGTGCAGCAGCAGTGGTTGGGATGCGCAGTGACTGACACGTGGATAAACGTGGAGCCGAGTTCTGTCCCAGCCCAATAAGTCTTCTGCCTGGGCGTCGAAACCTGGGAAACTCTGTGCAGGTAGAGATGAAGCTCCCTAGAAAGCGCAGGGTCGGAAGTACCCCTTCCGAAATAACTAAAAACCCAAGAAAGAATGGCCCGCTGTAAATTGATGATCCCCTTGCTTCGTCGCCCTTGTGCGTCAACGGAAGTTGCCCGAGAGGAGATTCGTGACGGGTGGAAGTCCCAAGGTTGCTTGGGCGGAGCGGTGACATTGATGCTCCTCCTTACCGCACCGCAACCTTGGGGATTGGTGCGGTGTGGGGGGTGCTACTCTCGTCGTTGTGTGGTGTGGGGGGCGCTGCTCTCGTCGTTGTGTGGTGTCGGTTCGGGTGGGGGGCGCTAACCTCCCCACGCCGCACCGCACCGTACCCCATTCGGGGGTGTACCAGAGTCGAGTTTCCGAACGAACCACCTGATCGCCTTCGTTCCTCTTTCGCGTCACCCCTATCGACCTGGCTGGGATCTGACACTCGAGGATCCGCGCGCTCACGCAGCAATTGGCGCGGGGTGAGTATATATTGGGGTGCATTAATCTAATGTACAGTAAGGGGCTCACCCATTTGGTGTGACTATGCTGATTTTCAAATAGTCCAACCACTACCATTTTTCTGACCCAGGGTAGCATATATGGGGGGCTATGGGTAGCTACGTCAAGACCAAATTATTAGTGCTATAAGGCAAATGAACCCACGCAGCTAGACAGGCATAAAAAAATTGCGCTCTCTCGCGCCCAACTGCCTCTTCCTGCTTTGGCGGCAGGGTGGGATTACATCATGCGACATGCTCCTCAGAAGTTCCTGAGCACCCGCTTGGCTTCGCGGATGCCAGACAGCAGGGCGCCATGCGTGGTGGCCTGGTACTGCCAGATGGTGTGTTCCCCCGCAAACAGCACCCTCCCCTCGGGCAGCGCCATCACATCATAATCCGTGCAGTGATCCTCGTTCCCCCGCACGCCCACGCGCGCGTAGCTGTACGCCCCCCGCGAATACGGGTCTGTAGCCCACCGCTGGATCCACGTCGCTATTGGCGTAACCGGATTCTTGCGGTACTGCCAGAACATGCGCGCCATCTTTGCCTTGGCGTCGCGAATCACTTGGTCGTCGCTCATCGCATTGATTCGTTCCGCATACTCCCCCAGGGCGACCCCCATTAAGGCCGTCTGTCCCCAAACTCGTTTCAGGTTGATCCAATCAACCCACCGCCCGCGATTCGCGGGCAGCTGCGAGTCTTCGATGAAATACTCGTCCACTTTGACTGGCCAGAAGGTATGGTTGAAGAAAAATAGTATTTTGGTGATGGCGCCCACGCCCAGGCGGGCCATGGCACCGGTTTTGCGGGGGGGCAGCGGCGGGGTGAAGGCGATGGTGTTCGCTTTCAGCACCCCCAGAGGGACCGTCACAATCGCCACGTCAGCATTCAGTGTGGCGGTAGCGCCGCTCTCGGTGTCCTTTCCGGTGATCTGCACGCCGGTAGAAGACTGTGATATGGCGGTTACCTCAAAGTTGAGGGTCAAATCTGCCCCTGCTGCCTGTGCTTCCTGTGATGGGTATGGGAGGGTGGGTGAAGATGGGGGTTGTGGTGGGCGAGAGGGGAGGAGAGGAGATGGGAGGCGAGGAGAGGAGATGGGAGGAGAGGAGAGGAGAGGAGAGGAGAGGAGAGGAGAGGAGAGGAGAGGAGAGGAGAGGAGAGGAGAGGAGAGGAGAGGAGAGGAGAGGAGAGGAGAGGAGAGGAGAGGAGAGGAGAGGAGAGGAGAGAGATGCACGGGCATATTTGAAATCTTGTCAAATTCGTACGCGACCCCCATATAAAACAACTTTTGAGGCGCCTCAATCAAAAGTGCGACCCCCATATGAAACGGCTCAAAAGTGCGACCCCCATATGAAACGGCTCAAAAGTGCGACCCCCATATGAAACGGCTCAAAAGTGCGACCCCCATATGAAACGGCTCAAAAGTGCGACCCCCATATGAAACGGCTCAAAAGTGCGACCCCCATATGAAACGGCTCAGTCATGATCCACACAAGCCCTTCCTCTCCGCCTTCCCTTCCTACGTGAGCCACTTCCCTCCTCCTCCCCTCCCCCTCCCCTCACTTGAACGAGAACCTGAAGAAGCCGTTGGCAACCACCAATCTGATTAGGCCTCTCTCAACAAAACTTCCCCCTCCACTCCCTCTCCTCCCCCCCCCCCTGAAACCCCCCCCCCCCATCCCTCACCTGCATGAGCATTATGGGGATTTTGTCAAAGCCGTTGGTGACAACGACAGTGGGCGGCTTGTTAAGATGCCTATGGCTCAACCATCATCCACACAAGCCCTCCCTCTTTCCCTCGCTCCCCTCCTCCCGCCTCCTCACCTGCATGAGCATTGTGGGGATTTTGTCAAAGCCGTTGGTGACAACGACAGTGGGCGGCTTGAAGGCGAGCGAGTCATAGTACCACGCAGAGAGGCGTGAGAGAGGGGCGGCGAAGTCAAACTCAAAGTCCACTGAGAGGCGCGACTGGCGGACAAGGGGACGAGGAGGGGACGGGAAGGAGACGCAAAAGAATCAGGTCATGGGTTTGGGGACAGGGAGTGGGGACAGCTGAACCCAAAGGTCATGAGAGGCGCGACTGGTGGTGGATGGGAAGTGGTGCAGGGACATGTGATGCACGCGAACATTAGGCCGTAGGCTGTTTGAGAGACGGGGAGTGGGCCGACAAAGTTGTTGAAGCCCAAGGCTACTGAGAGGCGCGACTTTTGGTGGATGGGATGGGAACGAACACATGAGATGTGTTCAGTGAGGGGAGCTGGGAGAGGGGAAATCCGTTGAGATAGAGTCAGATGTGAATATTGGAAGTTGTGTACGCATTATGAGGAGGATAGCCACGTTTGTGCATCTCATCACCACAGCTTATAAAAATGGTATGAAATCTGAGCCACGAATCTTAAACCCGAAACTCCAAAGTGCCATATCCCTCATATTCTTGCTGTTCCCTTCCGCTCCCCCCCTTCACTACCTGCACATAAGGCTTCATGAACACTCGCCGCTTCCATGGCCCGCTGGTGAACGCCTGCTGCAGGCTCACATCCTTGTCCTGCTTGTTCGCCCAGGCCAAGCCTTGCCGTACCAACGTCTGGTACTCCGCCTCCGCTGCCGTCCACCCGGGATCCCTGTATCTCTTCCCCTTGGCTGTGAATTGTATCTCCCTCCCGTTCTGCCGCCCGATTCTGAGCTTGTATTTTCGAGCTAGGGTGGCAATAGGGTTACCTGGAGCAGGGGGAGCAGAAGGGCAGAGGCAGGTGAAGAAGCACAGGGAAAGGGAAGGAGAAGCGGAAGTGGAGAGAAAGGGGAAAGGGTGAGAGTGAAAGGGAAGGAAAAGGAGTTCTGTTGGAGAAAGGGCTGATGGATGGAACGAGGGTTAAGAAGGGCGGTTACCAGAATAACTCTGGCGATCATAGGTGGGTTACGTGTTGTATGGAACTGGGTTACCCATGGCAGTGGTAACCACGTTCCCTGTGCCAGGTGGTAACCGGATTGCCTGTTGCCTGTGATGTAACCGGGTTACCTGGGGCGCCCTCAATCCACTGCGTACCCATCTCGCCTCGCAGTGGTACCGGATTACTGGTAATGGTGGTCACCGGGTTACCTGTGGTACCCTCGATCCACTGTGCGCCCATCAGGTTACCTGTGGCGCCCTGTGACATATGCCCATGTTACATATGTCACATGCAGTGGTAACCGGGTTACCTGTAGCATGCAGTGGTAACCGGGTTACCTGTAGCATGGTAACCGGGTTACCTGTAGCATGCAGTGGTAACCGGGTTACCTGTGGCGCCCTCGATCCACTGTGCGCCCATCTCGCCTCGCAGAAACGTGGTGGGCGAGCCGGCAGGGGCGGCCTCCGTTCGGCTCCACATGCGCCCGCCCACCCTGCCCCGCGCCTCCACCACCGTCACCTGGAAGGAGAGGACGGGGAAGGAGAATAGAAAGAGACGTGAGACAGGCAACAGCCCACCCTGCCACGCGCCTCCACCACCGTCACCTGGGGGGAGGGGAGGGGAAAGAAATACGAGGTTGTTAGGGTCCAAGGACAAAAACCCAGCCCACCCTGCCACGCGCCTCCACCACCGTCACCTGGGGGGAGGGGAGGGGAAAGAAATACGAGGTTGTTAGGGTCCAAGGACCAAAACCCAGCCCACCCTGCCACGCGCCTCCACCACCGTCACCTGGGGGGAGGGGAGGGGAAAGAAATACGAGGTTGTTAGGGTCCAAGGACAAAAACCCAGCCCACCCTGCCACGCGCCTCCACCACCGTCACCTGGGGGGAGGGGAGGGGAAAGAAATACGAGGTTGTTAGGGTCCAAGGACAAAAACCCAGCCCACCCTGCCACGCGCCTCCACCACCGTCACCTGGGGGGAGGGGAGGGGAAATAAATACGAGGTTGTTAGGGTCCAAGGACAAAAACCCAGCCCACCCTGCCACGCGCCTCCACCACCGTCACCTGGGGGGAGGGGAGGGGAAAGAAATACGAGGTTGTTAGGGTCCAAGGACAAAAACCCAGCCCACCCTGCCACGCGCCTCCACCACCGTCACCTGGTGGAAGAGGAGGGAATGGGAGGGGAGGGGGATGGGGGAAGGGGATGAGAGCCCAGCCCACCCTGCCACGCGCCTCCACCACCGTCACCTGGTGGAAGAGGAGGGAATGGGAGGGGAGGGGGATGGGGGAAGGGGATGAGAGCCCAGCCCACCCTGCCACGCGCCTCCACCACCGTCACCTGGTGGAAGAGGAGGGAATGGGAGGGGAGGGGGATGGGGGAAGGGGATGAGAGCCCAGCCCACCCTGCCACGCGCCTCCACCACCGTCACCTGGTGGAAGAGGAGGGAATGGGAGGGGAGGGGGATGGGGGAAGGGGATGAGAGCCCAGCCCACCCTGCCACGCGCCTCCACCACCGTCACCTGGTGGAAGAGGAGGGAATGGGAGGGGAGGAGGATGGGGGAAGGGGATGAGAGCCCAGCCCACCCTGCCACGCGCCTCCACCACCGTCACCTGGGGGATGCAGGTAAAGGGGAGAAAGGAAAGAGATGAGAGACCACATGCAACAATAGCCCAGCCCACCTGCCGCGCGCCTCCACCACCGTCACCTGGGGGAGGGGGAAGAGGAGCGCGAAGGAGGATAGAAGAGATTGGAGACAGGCAACAGCCCATTCTGAAATGAAAGAGATGGGAGAGTGCTGGCTTGCACACCACTCGCTTCCTCTAACGTTTGTCATCTGGGAAGAGGAAAAAGGGGGGAAATGGGGGGTTGATAACGGGGACAAGGGGGAAGGGAGAAGAGGAAGAGATGAGAAAACCTGCCGTGCGCCAGCACCGCTGTCACTTGGGGGGCCTGGGGGGAATTGGGGGAATGGTGGGGGAGCAGGGGCGAGAGGAAGGAGGCTAGAGAAACAGATGGTAAGCATGCTGCACGAAGGAAGGACACACAGAAGAAAAGAGCGCATTGAATGCGATTATATGTAGAGAACGTCAATAAACGTGTCACTAAACATTTGAAATGAAAGCTATAATCATGCACGCCCCGACCTACGGATTCACCTTCAACGTCAAACTTCAAAATTACCTTAAAGCATTCCCCGCCGGTGCCAGTGACGATGCGGTAAGCCGCCGAAACGCCCGACATGCCAGCGCCGACCACCACCACCTGCCGCACCGACGAGCACGCCGCGTCCGCCGCTCGCGGCACGAGCAGCGCCGCCAGCAGCAGCAGCGGCACGAGAAGCGGCAGGTCACGGCCTGCGTGCCGGCTGCTACCGTGGCGGCCATGAAAGCATTGTTTCCTGCAGCGTCTAGGACGACAGCCGCGTTGCATTGATCTCAATTGGTGTCGCGGCATTATGTGGAACGTATCGGGTCAAATGTTTGGGGTGATATCGGCGAGAAATTGGATGGGAGGGAGGAAACGCTGGAAACTGTCGTAACGAGCGCCGAGAAAGGCGATTTGGAGTGATCGTCGAAGTTCTCAGAGGAATGTTAACGGGGAACGGAATAGTAGTAGAGCGTAGATTCGCCGGGGATAGCGGGCGGAATGCTAGGCCTGAGACGCGAGGGAACCAAGGGAACGAGAGGATCTGCCTTGGGAGTGCTAGGGCGCGCCGTTGTTGAGAAACAAGAAATATGTCTTAGTGGGCAGAGTCAATTTGGCATTTTGACACTCAGCCAACATTGTTGGCAGGGTGTCAAGAAATTGCAGGTTGCCATCCAATACAAATCGTCGGACACTTTCTAAATTGGCACAGTCAAACCTACAAACGAGAGAAGATTGTCGCAGGTGTCTATCTCACGACCAGATGCTGCCCAATCAGCACACAATCTGTCTTTTGAATTGTTCGCTACCTGGCAGATCCACCCATGACAAATTCTCAAACCAATGAAATTCCGTCGCTGATGTTCGTACATGCGCTTCGACTTGACACTTCAGCTACAGTGTTTGACACTCTAATTTGAAAGCCCTTCGGGTTAGCACGCCTCACTTGACATGTCAACCCTACGGACACGAACTCACTCTCACTCTGCCAGCCACCCCCATTACTCCGAACGAAGATCCTTTCTTGACACACTACTACCATCATACAATATGGTTCAGAGTGGTTTATTTTGAATAAACCGTGGCACCCCGCACCTGCGGCTGTAAAATGAAGCGAAAAGCGGTGTGGATTGTGAGATCGAATTGGCGAGCTGCTATGCCAGCCACCAACATTCCTCAATTTTCAAGCATACCTCTTGCATCACCCCCCTTGGCAGTTTGTCCAGGTACCAGGCTCTACATCTCTAAAAACCCTGGGATTATACGCGGTATCAGACTGTACCACTCTCAAAAGCCTCGTCCGCTGGGGAACTATCAACCCCGTGTCGGCACGGCAGGATGTGGCGGTTGACGTGTCTGATCTGAGAAGGCACGCAAGCTTTCGCTACCTCGTTACACTGTCGCATACTCATCAACTGCGACGACAAGCGAATTCACGTCATGTTACGTAGTGTGACTGTCCTAAAGCGTATTCGCTGAAAGCTACAAGAAGAATATTCCACGTCATGTTCAAACCCCTACACTTCATCTCACCATTTCTCAATTCGTGTCCGAGTAGACATGGTTGTAGACAGTCATTATTTTAATACCCATATCAGTACACTTGAATAACATCTGATCTGTACGTTCTGTAACAGGCACGTGACTAGCGTCTCATCATCAGTGCCTTTACAGGCTGGAAAGCTCCTAACATCTGCTAAACAAAGGCTTATGATTGGCTGCAGCAGGGAGGCAATCATTGGCTGCCCTCCGCCTCCTCCAGCTTCTGCACATGGGCCTTGAGGGTGAGGATCAAATCGCGAGCAGGAGCCTGCACAGGGAGGGGAAAAGATAGCAAACGCTAAGTGTTGAAAATACACATCATGACACACTCTCTATTATTGCAACACATGGGCCTTGCGCGTGCGTATCAGATCGCGAACAGGCGCCTGCACAGGAGGGGGAACGGACGGGGAGGGGAGAGGGAAGGGAAGGGGTTGGAGACCAAGCATTACAGACAAACATCATTGTGACACGGGGAGATGTTCTGCACGTTGCACGTACAACTCGCACGCCCCTAGCCAGCTTCGAGCACCTGCCAGGGCAGGGTCATAAACAGTCCACTCTCACCCACACATCAGACACATGCTCAGCGCCCCCTCATGCACACACTCAATCTATCCTCAAGTGAAGCACTCAAGTGAACCCCATGGTTAGCTGGCGGCTAAATTACCACCAGTAGCTTCAAGTACACCTCAGCATGGCTGGGCAGGGCACCTGCATCTCAGAGACCATTGACTTTTGAGTCGACTCAAAAGTCAGCGCGGCTGAATGACCCTCAGCAGCTTCAAGTACACCTCGGCATGGCTGGGCAGGGCAGAATCTTTAGCACCTACACTCAGAGAGTCAGAGACCAAGTACAGCCTCCCCCCCACCTCTCCCCCCCCCCCCCCCCCCCCCTCTCCTGCATC